GCCTTCAATGAGTTTGAAGAAGGAACCCCCATTCCCATCTGCACTGGGCCCCACAAGTGATGTAGCCGATACTGACTATTTTGTATCATTACGTGTCATTGATTAAACACTTAGCGACAATATGAAACACTTCTTTATTGCTTGCTCTCGCTATGATCAAGTTCCATCCTGCCTCTCACTAGCTCCAGGACCCTGAGTAAGGATGCATCTGTGATCTGTCTCAGTTTCCTCATCTGTAAAGCAGGAGTAGTAACCCCTAAGGTTGTGAAGGTTTAAGTAACACCACAAATGGAGGGTGCCAAGGACCAGGCATAGAGTAAGCACTTCAAAAATTTGAACTATCACTATGATTATTAGTATTACTAGCTTTGTGGGGAAAAAAGTGAACCTGGGGCCTGGTTTTTCTACTGCACATTTTGATTATTAAATTTATTTGTGCATCACTTTAAGAATCCAATCAGTATTTGAGAAAACACCTTCCAGAAAAACACATATGCACACACCTTGCCTGCAGCTTCAGGGCACTCACAGGCCTCTGAGGCCAAGGCTGGGGTCCCTGGTCAAGAGCACCAAGAATCGAGAACAATCCTTGTTGTGCTGGAGTCCAAGTGTTGAGGCTGGAAAAGGCCAGGCAGTCATGCCGTGCATTACTACTTCAGGGCTGGGGTACTTGGGAGCTTTAAGTCAGCAGTTATTTTTAGCTTTGCTTTATATGGCTGGGGGAGGAATGCCAGTTATAGTGGGCGGAGGGTGCCAAGAGGCTCCAGCAAGGTTTGGGAGGCCAGAGTTGGTGTGCCTTCCCCACCCCCACCCCCTTCCCATGCCAGAGTTAAAGAACTTAACCTCCTACCAAAAGCAAAGCAAGGCTTGGAGGAGAGGGAGGGTGGATGGAGGTGGGAAGGGAAGTCTGGCAGGGGCTTCGAAGAAGATCCCAGGTCAAGTTGCTTTAGGACAGTGATTTCCAAATGTTTGGCCAAGGGTGACAATACAAAATACATTTTACATCAACACAGATGCTTTTAAACACGCGCGCACACATGTATATCCTCGACTGAATAGATGTTTCATGAAATAATACTTTATCTTATTCTCTGTGAAATACTCTGGCAGTTTCTGTTCTATTCTATGCTTTTCTTTTTTTTTTTTTAATGTAGGTCCTGACCCAGTGAACTGATAACACTGCCTACTAAAGAGTCGGCACTCCTGTAGGCAAGCTAAAATGCATTCTAGTTTAGAGCAGGAGGTCGGTCACCTGTAACACCTGACTGCAAGGCAGGGTGACTACCTCTCAATTTCCATAAAAAGGTGCAAATTTCAACTTATCTGCTGACTGGGCCCCCTGGCTTTTGTGGGCTCTGTCAACCTGGAGTGGTCAGGCTCATTCTTGCACAGGCTAGGGCTTGGCCCACCACTTACTCCAGGAAGCCTTCTAGAATGCTGAAGTCTGGTAGCTCCCCACCTCTTGCTTCCTTAAGGCCTTGTCTGCCCCTGCCTAGCACCCTACAATTTCTTGTTAATTCTCCGTTTGTCTACTCTGTTTCATTTCTACACCTTCTAGGGAAACAGCATAATGCTGGCTTTCTGATCATTTATTGAGTGAATTCACAACAGTGAAAAGGAATAATAATAATCACCATTTACGGAGAGCTCTCACTCATCCCATGAGGAGTCTTATGAGAGATGAGGATAGGTCCATCTCATGGATGAGAAAATGAAGGCTCAGAGATGCAATAACACTGCAGGGCAGGATCACAACCCAGGACTGCCTGAGCCCCAGTGGTTCTTAATCACAGGATCCCATTTGTCTGCATTCCTCTCAGTGCTGCACAGGCTAGGGCAAAGGGCAGGTCCTTAATAAACCCTCAGGGGACTGATGACAGATTGATTAAAGAGATTTTCCGAAGCAGTGGCCACATCTAATTTTGGAGAGTTACACTTCATGTGTGTCTTGGAAGAGAGAATCTGTGAGGTGTCTAGGACTCCATCTTGTTTGGGTAAAGTCTAGGCTGGTGGCACACCAGAGCGACAGGTCTTCTAGTTACCTGGCCTCAAGACCTCCAGAGGATCAAACCCAGGGCCCGCAAAGCCTGGGGTGACCTGGCCCACAACTCCAACCTACACTCCTGCCTGTATCCCTCATTCACTCAGGGCTTCTGCCACTCAGGCTTTCTTGCTGGTCCTCAAACAGGTCTTGGGGCCTTTGCACTGCCATTCCCTCTGCCTGCTTTGAAGATCACCATATCCAAACACTACCCTCTGTCCTCTCTGCTATTTTCCTTTTCATAACACAAGTAAAAGTGGGTGGTTTTTGGTTTGTTTCAGTCTTCTCCACCACTTGTTCACTACTATAGTCCCAGCACTTGCTGTGGGACCCCACCTGGCGGAGAGCCAGTAGCGTTAGCTGCATGGATAAGTGAATGGGTTTCCTTCTTTTAGACGGTTTGAGAGATCAGCCCTTCATTTTCCATGCTCGCCTTAACCCAGCAATGTATGTCCTATCACTCACATCCAGATCCCAACATCTGCTCATACCCTTTGGTTTAGAGAGAGAGAGAGAGAGAGAAGGAGGAAGGAACATTCAGCACGTCAACCATGCCCCACATTGCCTCCCTAATGGATACCTCGTAAGCACTCAAGGATTGTGTCCATTTTATAGTTAGGGAAACAGGAGGCTTGCTCTCTGCTGGGTCTTCATGCCTAGCAGAGTGCATGACAAACATTTGGTGAGTTGCATTGGAGAGGTTCAGCAAATGGCTGGAAGTCACCAAATGAACAGGTAGGGGAGCCAGAATTTATCCTTAGCTCTGTCTGGTTCCAGTCAGTGGTATACATCTACGTCTGTGACCACAGACACTCAGGAGCACAACCTTTTAACATCCAGCACATTCGAGGGTAGGTCCTTGGCCAGACACCATCTCGTCCTATACCTCCTCTCTGGTCCTCTCATCGTGCTTTGGAGACCACCTTGGTGAAACACCACCCTCTTCCCTCTCTACTATTTTTTCATAACAGCAGTAAGTTCTGGAAAGTGTGTGTGTGTGTGTATATATCTATATACACACACACTTGTTTTCCAGTTTGTGTCATCTTCTCCACTAGATGGGGGCTGTCAAGGTCCCCAAGGGCTGCATCTCAAGCAAACCTTGTACCTGGGAATCTGCTGATGCTTCTTCCTGCCCCCCTCCCCGTTTCTCAGAATGCCTGCTCCCTATTTTCTGTAATAAAGAAGACAGACTAATGACAAATATAATATCCTAAAAATGGCTCGGGTGACAAATATAATTATTTTCTAATGAGCCACAGTTTTGAGTTACGCAGCACACCAGGATGCCATCATAGAATTATCCTGAGTCACAAGGAGTCTGAATGACCATTAAAAGCAGAAGCCACTAGGTGTGGTGGCACATGCCTGTAATCCTAGCACTTGGGAGTCTGAGTCAGGAGGATTGAGAGTTCAAGGCCAGCCTGGGCTATGTGGTGAGACCCTATGTCAGGAAAAAAAAAAAAAAAGCAGGCAATAACAAACTTTCTGTACAAGTCCAACAGTAACTATGTTAGGCTTTGCAGGACAATAGGCAAACTGAGGATTATGTAGAGACTTTCATATAATTTTCACATATTACAAAATATTATACTTTGTTTTTTTTAGACAATTAAAAATGTAAAACCACTCTCAGTTCACAAGCTGTACAAAACAGACAGCAAGCCACTTTGACCCATGACTTATAGTTTGTTAGCCGTGACTTAAGTCACTACTGTTCTCTTCCTCCCTTCCTTCGCTGAGTCTCACTTCGTTGTCCAGGCTGTTCTTGAACTCCTGAGTCCAATCAATCCTCTTGCCTCAGCCTCCTGTGTAGCTGGGACTATAGACATGTACCACCATGCCAGAGAGCAATACTTTCAAAACTTTTAACATGCATAAAATTTGCCTGATGAGCTTATTAAAACAGTTCTCAGGACACTTGCTCAGAGATTCTGAACTGGCCCCTGAACTTGCATTTCTACCTGGCAGTCACATGCTGCTTCTGTCTGTCTGATGATGCTGCTGTCTGTCCACCGACCACATTTTGAGTTTTAGTGACATCCTAAAGTGCCCCACTTTATGGATGAGGAAACTGAGGCTCAGATAAGTGATATGTCCCAAGTCACAGCAGGCAGATGAAATAATGAAATCTACACTGCCAATTATCAGGGCTCTTTAGCCACAGAAAACTCTGTTTTCTTAACCCACAAGCACTCTCATACTTCTGAGTCATTGTACAAAGTCTTTTCTCTCCTAGATGGTCCTCAACTCCCACTCTCACAACCACAAATTTCCCAGCAAGATCCAGCTCAAGTGTCACATCCTCTAAAGCACTCCTCAAGCTTAACTGCTCTTGTCTGCCACAGTTCTACGCACATAATTTGTGTACAATTCTTTAAAGCCAGAGGCTGTATCTTCTTCCTTTTTATATCTAATCCTTTATGTGATGTAGGAGGTACCACAGAATTACGCATAGAATGAAAGAATGCGTGCGTGGGTGAATGGATGATCGGGTGGATAGATGGGTGGATGGATCATGGTGGGCAGGTGGCTCACTGGCTGGATAGGTGAATGTACAAATAGATGGGTGGATGAGTAAATGATTGGACACTCCTCATGATCTATTGCTTGAAAATAATTTCCATGGCAAAGTTGAGACCAGACCCCAATTCTGCTAGCGCACAAGCCAGAATCTTTTCCACAGCTGTTTCTACCTATCTAGTACACAAAGTTTTGCTTATTGAGCATGTGCTGAGTGTGTATTTATGTCAGGGCTTGTACTGCCAGCCCTCTCAATAACCCCTTTACTGCCCCATCCTAACTCATAAGAAAATGGAAGCTAAGAGAGGTAGAACAGTTTGCCCAAAGCCACACAGCAAATCATATTCTAGCTCATCTGCTTATGCCAACTGCCCTTACCTTTCCACAATCCCGTAGTGTCCCCACCTCCCACTCTATAGGCCCCAGCTGGGCTCACCTCCATCTGCATAGGTCTCGGTGCCATAGCCATCCTGCAGGCCATTGTTCCAGGTGCCCTCATACTTGGCACCGCTGCTGGTGCTCTGGCGGGTTCCATAGCGTCCCTTGAAGCCGTGCGTCCACTCACCCTTGTAGAGCCAGCGGCCCTTGGTCTCTATGCCCAGCCCGTGCCTTTTGCCCTGGCTCCAGTATCCCTCGAAGGTGTTTCCACTGGGCCAGGTGTAGACGCCTGCCACTTCAAAGCCAAAGTTCCAGGAGCCTGAGTATTCGCCCTGGCCCTTAGGGCCGGTGCACAGTCCATGCCCATGGGCCTTCCCCCCCTCCCAGCCCCCACAGTATGCCCCACCATCGTCAAAGTCAAAGCGGCCCCCACTCATCTCATCCTCGCCCCTGGCAACCTCCCCGTTCTCCAGCTTTGGTTCAGGGGGCGTTGGGGGTACCTGACACTCTCCAGGCACCCTCAGGCTGGGCACCCAGACTCACCACGATGCCCCAGGAGGGGGGATCCAAGATGCCAGCAGAGGCTGAAAGAAGCCGGGAGCCAGCTCGGCACTGGGGACGCTGGTCAGTGCCATGCTTGGGAGGCCCCCTCAATCAGCCCAAGTAAGGCTGCAACTTGTGAAGGAAGCAGAAAGGAAAGACAAAGTCCCCACGAAGTGTCCCAAGTCTGGCTTCCATGGGGTCCAAGGGGAAACGGTGTGATCCTTTTCAGAAAGACAGGGAAATGGTGGGATTGCCGTTTCAAAGAGGGGCAATCCCCTGGGTGGCAGCCCCAGCAGAGGCTGAATTCCTGCAGCAGCCGCTGGCCCCCTTCTGGAGTCTGTCCACTCCAGTGGGTGTGCGGCTGTGTCTGTGTGACTGATCTCCCTGCTGCCCCGCCCCTTCCCCAGCCCTGCCCTCCTCCTGGGACAGAAAGGTCAGTGTTGCCCTAACAAGGCCATTGGATCTCAGAAGCTGCTCCCAAAATAACCCCCTGGCCAGCCCAGTCCCCTTCAGAGCAGGAGGGAGGGGTGTTTCAAATGGAACTGTGGCTGCAGAGCCAGGCAGTGGCTGCAGGCTGAGCAAGGGAACTCAGAACCAAGTGCGGGTGGCCTGAGACATTTGGTGCCTTGTCTTCCCATGGGTAAGGACTCCCTTCTGTCCCAGAGTCCCCTGGGTCTGCAGACAAGGAGGGCACAGAGGAGGGAGGGAAGACACAACTAGCAGAATGCCCAGTCCCGGGACACTTCAAATTCCTCAGGGCACAGAGGTTGGCAGACCTCACCCCACCACCACCACTCGCATGCCCCAACAGGACCTGGGGAGCCACTGCCCACCATCAAGGAATTCAGTGACCTAAAGACAATGGAACAGGGGACAGTTGCATATATGCTTTTGAAAGCAGAGGTGAACTCAGAAAGAGAGGTGAGTTTCTGGTGACAGTCTGGAAAATATAGCAAACCTGAGTCCTGGTGCTTGTGCACGGCTCCAGGTCCAACCCAGGAACCTGGGGAGAACCCAGGGCAAAAAGCACTGGTCCACTCCCTACCCCACTCCCAACACCAATGCCTCCGAAGGGGAGAGGAGCCCCCCCCCAGACCCACTTCTGAAACTCAGGGCTTTGGGCTGTGATAGAATGAGGTCCACTCAGAAATACTCAAGGATCGGAATTCTTTTTTAATTTCTCTTTTGCTCTAGTGTCCTAAGAGCTGGATTTCAGAAAGCTCTTGAGACAGGGTCAAGAACCAAGGGCCCCGGGTGGATTCCCAGCACTCAGGTTCCCACAGGCTCCAGCAAAGAGAACAAACAAATCTTCATGACAAGCAAGACACTGTGGCGGTTCTGGGCTGATGGTTGTGAACCCCAACCCAGCCCGGGAGTAAAGGGGATAGAGAGTGATTCTGGGACAGGTAAGAGCCACTGCCACCAAGTCTAGGGAGTTGTGTGTGCGTGTGGGTAACAGGGAGGGGAGGGGTAGAAAACACAAAAACAGCAAAGGCACTCGAGCAGTAAACTATTATCTAACTTCAAATGTATCTGACATATTTCCAAGTTGCATGATGACTTAGGCTTCTTACAGTAACTGCAGGAATTTTGTTCTTGTTTCACAAATGGGTAGAACACGTTCTTTCATTTCTACCCCACTGACTACCAGTTCTTACGACTTGGTTCTTTTGTGTGCGCAGCCTCTGACCTTAAAGAGCCCCCAATGTCCACCTTTCACCTCCAAGTAGAAACGTCAGCCTTGAAGTACACAGCAGTGGATAAAGACCGTCCCTGGCCAGGTAGATGGACGGACAGCCTGCTCAGGAAGTTAGCTTCCACACTGCTTCCAGGCGGAGGTCTTCCCTACTCGTCGTGGAGAGCTGCAGAATCACGAGTTCGTGAGTTTTTTCCAGCTCTGATGTCAAGGGAAGGGGAAAGAGCATTTCCAATTGAAAGCAGTGAGAGTCCCAGATGGAGTTCCACACCTTCTGTAAGTGAAATCGCTGGGATCCTGGCCAGATGTCTCACACAGGAAGCTATCCATCCACATCAATTTAGCTACTGTTCACCCACAGAAGCTCCTGTGGTGGGTTCCTCCCCAGTGTGGGGAGGGTGGAGGAAGAGGAGGGAGACACAGAAGAATCACCTAGAGAACTAAAAGACAGAAACCAATTCCAGAGTCTACTCCTGGTCTATGTAATTAAATCTTCCTGGCAGAGGATTTGAGTAGTTTTTAAAAGCTCACAAATTTTACCTCCATCCCTGGTTAAAAACCACTGTATGTTTTCAAATGGCAAAATAGTTTCTTAATAGTATTTACAAATTTGGGAATGTGTTGACTTGTTCAGGCCATGTAAGGCAGGTAGCTTTAGATATGTGTTCAAATCCCAGTTCTGCCCCTCACCAGCTGAGTGACCTTGGACCAATTGTTAATTTCCTCTAAGTCCTTAACCTGTACCTACCTCAGAGGATTATTGGTATCAAGGATAATCACATCACCTTTTATGACTGAGTGAGGCTCACATGGGTTCATACTGTAAAAAGGCTTTGAATGCATTAAACACCTAATAAATTTTAGCTATCATTACTATTTTTCTCATGTAACAAGTTACTTTTCAGTTCATCATGACCATAAAATGGTCAGCAAAGAGGGACTATATATGCAATGCCTTGGCACTGAAGCATCCCTTCTCTTTCTAATACATGTTCACCCAATGGTACCTGTGGTTTCTCTTCTTTTTTTTTGGCTGTATTGGGGTTTGAACTCTGCTTCATGCTTGCTAGGCAGGTGGCCTACTGCTTGAGTCACTCCCCCAGCCCTTTTTGCTTTGGTTAATTTTGAGAAAGGATCTCTCCTTATTCAGGGACCAGCCTGGGCCATGAGCCTCATATTTGTGCATCCCCTGGTAGCTGGGGTGACAGGCATGCACTACCACACCCAGCCTTTATTGGTTGAGATGGGGTCTTTCTTGTGAACTTTTTTGCCTGGGCTGACCTTGAACTGAGATCCTTCCAATTTCTCCTTCCAGAGTAACTAGGATTGCAGGCTTTATCCACTACACCAGGCTCTTTTAAAAACAAATCTGAACCAGTATTAGTAAAGGGACACTTTGATTTTGTGAAAGTTTAGGAAAAACTAGATGGCCAATTTTAGCACTGGCTTTACCTGTTCAGTGCTGATCACTTTTTTTTTTTTGTCCTTCCCTTTAATCCTGTGACTTTCAAGGAAAGGGGGACCTCTGGTGGCCATGTGACTTTCCTTAGGGAAATGTTCTTCAAACCAAACAGGAGTTACTAAGCTTAAAATGAATTTTAAACTTTTAAAAGGTAGCTATCACATTCTTTCCCTCCCAGGCCTCTTTTTTACTCCCTGGCTCTATTTTAGTCACAGGAAGTCACTTCCTGTTTCCTCCTGCACTTCTCAAGCTTGGAGCCCAGAGAAGAGAGAATGGAAAATCTAGAACAGAGAAGAGGCCTGTGCTAGAGGTACACCTGAGCACTGAGCCCCAGATGGTCCAGAAGAGGCTCACCTTCCCAGGACCCTTTCCTGACAGGCCTCAGGCTGGGTCAGCAGCCGTTCCCATGGGTGGGCTCCTCCTCTCAACCCCAGTCCTTTGAAGCTAGGACTATCTTCTTTCCCAAAACACGACACCTCCTGTGTGTCGGACAATGGTTCACTTCACAGTAGGCCTCCTCATCTTTCCATCTGTGCAGCACAGGGCAGCAGAGGCAACTCCCCTCTGAAAATGCTTCTCTGTTGACTACTAGGGACCCTTGCTTGTTCCATTCCTGCCTCACTGGTTTCTCGTCATTCCCTGTCCTCTGCACCTTGGGAATGTCACAGTGTTTGACTTCTTTTCTCCTTTTATTTATCTATTCATTTACTTATTTGTACTGATCATTCCTAACTTTGCATCTCTAGCCTGTACCTCTCTCCTGATTTGTCATTATCAGTCATCTACTTATCATCTCCAAATATCCCATAAGCATCTCAGACTTGACAAAAACAAAAACAGAGTCTCAATCAGTTTGCTATCCCCAATCTGTACCAGCTGATTCACTCTTCTTTTTTGGTGATGGTACGAGGGGTTGAACTCAGGGTCTTGAGCTTGCTGGGCAGTGCTCTACAACTTGAGCTTCTCCACCAGCCCTTTTTGCTTTACTTTTGAGATAGGGTCTCGTGTTTATGTCCAGGCTGGCCTGGGCCACATCCTATTCATGCTTCCCATGTAGCTGGGATGACAGGCACACATCACCACACCCAGCTCCTGGTTGTGATGGGGTCTTACTTTTTGCCTGGGCTGGCCTCGAACCTCAATCCTCCCAATGCCATGGGTAACTGGGGTTACAGGCATAAGCCACCACACCAGCCTGGCTCCCAACTTCTTAAAAGCTTTGGGGTCATTCTTAATTCCTATCTTTCTTATACCCTACTATATGCACTCTATCAGCAAATCACTTCAACTCAAGCTTCAAAATAATTTCAGAACAAGCCAGGCGTGATGGCATATGCTTGTAATCTCAGGTACTCAGGAAGCAGAAGATCAAGAAGATCAAGGTTTGAAGCCAGCCTAGGCAAAAAGTTAGTGAGACCCCATCTCAACAAGCCAGGAATGGTGACGTAACCTATGGTCTCTGCCACATGGGAGGCATAGGTAGGAGGATCTTGGTCTGAGTCTAGCCTGGGGCAAAAACAAGCCTCTGAAAAATAACTAAAGTACAAAAAGAGGGTGGTGAAGTGGCTCAAGCAGTAACAGTGCCTGCCTAGCAAGCATGAGGCCCAGAGTTCAAACCCCAGTGCCACCAATAAATAAAGCACAAAAGGGCTGCATGTGTGGCTCAAAGTATACCACCTGCCTAGCAAGCATGAAGCCCTGAGTTCAAACTCCAGTACTACCAAAAATAAAAGTTCCAGGATACATCTCCCACACTACCTAGCGTCCAGCCACCAAAAGCTATTGCCTGGCTCTCTGCGAGCCTCTTGACTGCCCTCCTTGCCTCCTCTTGGTTTTAAAGAGCCAGACCTCTTTAAAAATGTAAATCTTAGGGGTGGAAGCATGGCTTAAGTGGTAGAGTGTCTGCCTAGGAAGCATGAGGCTGAGTTCAAATCACCATACCACCACCACCAAAACAAAAAGTCCTTTCTTTAAAGGACGGTCTGTAGTCAGCCTGGGCTGCATAGCAAGACCTTGTCTTTGAAAAAGGTTAAGTCTCACCACGTCTCTCTGGTCACTTCCCAAATGGCTCCCTATCTTCCTCATACTAGAACCCAAAGTCCCCAAAACAGCCAACTAGGCCTTCCGTGTTCTGATCCCACCCCATACTTCCAAGGCCACCTGTTCAGGCTTCATCCTTTGATATTCTTAGTCCCTTCTG